AAAAAAGTTGCAAAATAGACTGCATGAAGCGAAACGTTCAGTGCCAGTGCTTTTAACAGAATTGCTTGCCTATCATTTTAATATAAAATATGAGAAATTTTCTTTCAAGCAAGCAGCAGAAATTAACCTAGCGGGCTTGCGATGCTTGCTTGGAATAAAACTTCTTGTATTTTCAACTAAAATGATAGGCAAGCAGTTCTCATTGGGTTACTTGGTAATATACTTCATTTTTGTATTTTTGAATTTTCGTGGGCGCCAATCGATTTTCTGGCGCAGTCAAGAGCACTGTTTTATTGTTAGAGCATACTATATAATAGCTAATGTTTGTATGCTAGAAATGAGCTTGCAGCTAACTTAGGATAATAGTTCTAATAAATTATGTGATTTTTAAATTTTAAAATTATGTTATTAATTAGAAAAGGCATTTAAAGCAATGTTTTTGCTGTTAATTACCATTTTTGCATTTTGCAAAAGTTTTAGAGATGATAATTTGAAATTGGTGGAAGAAGTGGCAAAAGCTTGTGCTGCCATGGGAAAAACTACCTATGTGTATTGGAGTGATGGGGAAAAGGACCAAAAACAGGATTTTCCTGATGTATTTGCTTTTGTATCATGATTCATTCATGTGTGGGTATATTGATTGCCTCTTGCACTGGAAGTAAAGACCCCATTCCATTGTTCTTTAATTTCACTTCTTTCCAACATTATTAAGGTTATGACACACTTGTCTGCTTTAAGAAGAAAATAGCCATCATAATGCATAAGTTGCCTTGTCATTATTACAAAAAAGTTGTCCCTATTTATTATACATACAAAAAGTATGGTAGCTTTTTTTCTCTATACCATAAAAATAACTTGTAATTTGAGACATTACAGCAAATAAAAACAAACAGTTTATTATAAAAGTGTAAATATTATTTTATTTCATTATTGGTTCAAAAGTGCAGAATAATTTAATGATTATTATTTTTTCTTTATTTTTATTACTGGCAAATTCCAAACATTTTATAAGCAGCTACATGTATTTCATAACTTTTAGTTCATAAAGTTGTTTTCATTTAAAAGGATATATATTAGTTGTTTATGATCATCATGTACAGTGTAATACCTACATTTAGGCAATTTGTTAATATATTGATAAATTTATTTAAGTCATTAAAATATAGGAACTGTTCTACTTTCAGCACCGGGTGAAATTAATGTTACGCTATCCGGAACCTGTGACCAGTGCTCTATGCATATATATAGTATATCGCTTGACAAACATTTTCGAGCGATCTGTTCACTCTTCTTCATGTCGACTGAAAATTCCCCGGTCGGAGTGTATATTATTCGTTGGGATCGGGTGTCGGTTTCGGCTGGGTGGGCTGTTTCTGGCATGCGCGGTTGTGTGGTGGGGAGGAAACGGCGGGTTGGCGTCTAACAGCGATTGCCAGGCGAGAGACAGGGTTAGCTCTTCCTTCCGGTTAACGCAGGTGGTTAGCCGGCCGGCGTTGTAGATAGCTCGAGAAGGCTACTATCATCATCAACATGCCCCACCAACAGCATCTCAGCTTCCAGCCACCTGAGATGCTGTTGGTGGGGCATGTTGATGATGATAGTAGCCTTCTCGAGTTGCGCTTCAATTTCGGGATCTGACGCTTATGTGGCCAGGGCTGTGGTTAGCCTCCCGTGTCGGATATCCGCTTGGTGTTCTCGCTGGTGGGTGTACAAGGAGCGTTTGGTTGAGCCGATGTATAGTAGGTCTGCGTTCTGCCTGTTGTCTCGGAGTGGGATAGAGTAGATTCCGGGTAGTCTGGTGTGATCAGGAGGGTCTTTATCGTTCCGTAGGATACGGAAAATTGTGGGGCATCTTCCGTATGCTAATCGTATCCCGTGCTCTCTGGCTATCTTCCTATGCACAGTCTTGAGGTGTGGGTTGAATGTGATGGGGACCCGTGTTGGGCTATCTTGCTGCGGGCCGGCGGCATTTCCCGCGGTTGGGGCGTGTTTCTGTTGCTGGTATCATTCAACTAAGCGGTGTGTCATGTTCGGGAACCCGTGCTCAGTTGCTATTCTTTTGATGCGGGCTAATTCGTTTGTTAGGGCTTGGTCGGTGGATGAGTGTGAGAACGCTCTCTCCACCAGCGCCCTAAAGGCGGCGGCCTTGTACGGGAACGGGTCACGAGAATTGGCTGGTATGTACATGGGGATGGATGAGGGCTTGTGATATATGGCCGTGTGGATGGTGGGTCCTACTATTTTTATTTCAATGTCGAGAAAATGGACTTCTTCTGTACTAGCTTGCTCCAGTTCAACGGTTAGGCCTAAAGGGTTGTAGTTGACGGTTCTGACGAAAGATGTCATGTCAGGGACCTCTCCCCATACGATAAGAATGTCGTCCATGTATCTTTTATAAATCAGGATGCTAGGAAGGAAAGGTGGGAGGGCCTTACCTTCGAGCTGTCTGACGACCATTTCACAGAGGTTGCCCGAGAGTGGGCTACCCATCGGTACACCCTTTTTCTGCCGGTAGATAGTGTCGCCAAACCTAAAAACAGAGTCATAACACACCAGATGGGCCATCTCGAGTACCTGTTGGTGTAGTGCTTGGTCTTGAACTGTATTAAACAAAAAATCTCTGAGGGAGCAGAAGGCTGGAGGTAGCTCTATTGAGGGGTACAGTACATAGATTTGAAGTCCAGGACTATCATAAATCGTGGTGGAGAGGGTAGATCTTGTAGGAGACGGATGAGGTCAGTCGGTTTATTTACGTTGTAGGGGTAGTTTTCCAGATGGGGAGTTAGGAGGTTGTGTATGGCTTTCTCAAGCTTTCGTGTTGGCGCCCTTACCTTGTCTACGATTGGGCATAACTGTTGTCCCATCTTATGTGTTTTAGCATAGGCGAAAAGTCTAGGTACATCTGGTGAATCAACTATTACGTCGTGTAGTGCCAGGCACTTGGTTAATCTAGAGTCAGCGAGGTGTCTAACTTTAGCTTGTAGTTTGTCGATTACATCGTCCTTTTCTTTCTCGCACATTGTATTATCAATGTATTCCCTCAAACCTTGCTGGTATGAGCTGCGTTTCATGAGGACTAGCATTCTGGACTTATCTGCTCTGGTGAGAATTACTCCGTTCCTTCGCATCCATCTAGCAGTACGTCTCACCTTGTCCCTGAGCTCTATAATTTCTTGCTGCTCCTTAGCTTTCCTGATATTTATCGAGGACATCCATCTGTAATATTCCTTCTGCGTGTCTGGGAGGCTTTTTAAAAGGTATTCCATGTCCGGGATGAGGTCTCTGGTTCCATTTTTGGGCGGCGGGGGTGCAAAGGTTGGGCCATATCTAAGTATGTCTATAACGAAGTTAGGTGGTTGGATGTTGTCCCAAAGGATAAACGGGAACGTGGGGCGTTGGTTAGTTTTAGGTACCTGAAATTTTAGTACCCAATTCAGCTTCTTGTGGTAGCGTTCTCGTAGGTCGGCAGATAGGCGTTCGTAGACTGGGACCAACTTAGCGTTCTCTCTTGCCAATACGTCCGGGTGTGTGTGGAATAAGGAGTCTTCGGTCTCTATTAACTCTTTCAACTTTGCGAAGATCCGCTTTCTGGATGATCGGATGGTTCTATTAAGGCACATAAGGCACTCCCCCACCACACAACCGCACATGCCAGAAACGGCCCACCCAGCCGAAACCAACACCTAATCCCAACGAATAATATACACTCCAACTGGGGAATTTTCAGTCGACCTGAAGAAGAGCGAACAGATTGCTCGAAAACGTTTGTCAAGCGATATACTATATATACGCGTAGAGCACTGGTCACAGGTTCTGGATAGTGTAACGTTATTTAAGTCATGTTTAATTATATAATTTAAATATACTAAGTAATTAGTATTCACACTTGATAACATATAATATTTATTGCTTGTTTTTACATTAACAATTTATTCATTTAAGCCCAGTCATTTGTACATTTCATCAGCTGTGCAGAATATGCTCAATCACATAAATGTGTTTTGGGCATATTCTGCATTTTTATGTTTTTCATATTCTGTAATGTTTCTGTGGCTAATATTATAGTATTAGCCACAAAAACATTACAATAAAATGTAGTAACATCTCAGCTAAGTCTGTAGATATTAATTGGAAAAATTCACCAAAATATGGGGAGATTTTGTGTTTTAAAAGTTAAATTGGAACATTGTTTACTTTATTTCTGATCAGTTTATTCACTTGTAGTAGTGACAAGTCAGTTTCAATTATGAAACCATGGTTTTTATTTTACAAAGAATAAAAAAAAATTCATTTTTATTTCAACACTATTTTATGAGTGAAAGTTTGTATTGATTTAAATTAAAAGAATATTTTAAGTTAATTTTTCAGTTTAATGTTGTTTGGAAAATTACAGGATAGGTCAATGTAATTATTTATATGGTATTTTAATTTGAATCTTCCAAACTACTGCAGTAATAATTATTAATTCATTCATAAAATTTTTTGTTTTGTGTGCTGATGTGAATAATTTTTGAGAAAATTTTTGGTCCTGAAAATATTCTGCAGATCTGCATTTCATCAAATGTTTATATGTTTTAGACTTTGAAAGAATGCTATTTGGAGTTCAGTTTTAGATTTAATTGAGTTTTGACTTTAAAGTGATTGTTTGCTAGATATCTATTATTTAATTGTTTCTTTATGGAAAGTGACAATTAAAAATCAAAGTGAAAAATATATATGTTACATACACTATTAATTTCAAGTTAATTTAATTAAGTGAGAATAATGTTTGCATAATAAAAATAAACTATGTAAATAAAATATCTTATGCCCAGTCTAAAGTTCATGGAATAGTTCAGTTGCCCTGTTCATGGAATAGTATTTTGCATCTCTGTTATATCCTTTTCAAAATTCATAAAGAGTAGCATACCTGATATGTTTTTTATCTGAAGACATTTTGACTTAATTTTATTCAAACAAAGTACAAAGTAAAAAGTTTAAAATAAGCTTCTAAACAAAGAATACAATCTCTCATTAGAAGTAATGTGTTAAATTTTATGAAAAAAAGTTGTTATTTTCTGTTCAACTCAATATAACTTTTAGTTATTAGCTATGAAATTCAAAAAGTGCATGGAAGCAACAAAGTCTAAAAGGAAGGTTGTAGTATCAACAATTGAAATTAAAAAGGAACTTATTGTAAAACATGAAAGCATTACACTTGTTGTGGATATGATGGCCACGTTTAAGATGCTGAAGTTGATGGTGTGTGATGTGATGTGTGAAAAAGCTTTAAAAATTGCATTTACTGGTCAGTAAATGCAATTTTTAAAGCTTTTTATTGACTTACTCTGTCAATCTGTCCAAGTAAAACATTGCAATTCATTTACGTCCCAATTTCCAATCTAGTTGAAACTTTGCAGATGTACTGTCGTTGGCAATACACATATTTTTTAATAGTTTGCAAACATTTTTAACAATTAGCAAAAAGTCAACTTAAAGCTTTTTTTTTTTTAATTGAAACCAATCTCACAAAGAACAATATACATAAAATTAAGTACATGTGATTCTATTTTAAGCTGTAAGTCACACTAGGGATTCTTTAACATTTTCCCAGGTCTGAGTCAGTAGATCAAGCTCCTGACTCCAACTCCAACAACTCAGAATTTAAAAAAAAAATTTTTTTGAGAGTTGTCCTCTTCTTACCTCTAAATAATAATTTAAAATATACTTTGATTATATTAACCAAGAATGGCATTTCATCATTACCAAGTGAATCATCAGGCATTCCTATCAAAACAAAATATTTATCTTATTTTTAATATGTTTTTTATTATACATTATTTATGTATTTATTGTTTTCAAGTTTTAATTTATTATTAAAATATGTAATTGTTTTATTTTTACATTAAATAATGTGTATTTGCAGTTTATATTTATCAAAATGGGTATTGTTTAGTGTCAGGGAATTAATTAATTCACTTTCCATTATTTCTTATGGGAAAAATTGCTTTGGATTTTGAACGATTCAAAGTTTGAACAACCTTGTTGAATGAAATAAGTTTGAAGCATGAGGTACCACTGTAAATGTTCTTTGATGATAAATTAACATTTTGATTGGTGAAGATTATTCACTGTTCCATGTGATGAATGAAATCTTCATACAGCCAATAAAAAATTCATTTTAGCAAAAATTAAAATTCTAAAGGAAATACTGTAAAGGTCATTATTTAAAGTCATTATGTAAAGGTAATCTGCTTCAAGCATGTTTCAGCAGAAAATTATAATTCCTTTGTTTTTAATAATAATTTTTTCCATTTACATTTGAAATA